TGCGGCAGGCCTTATTTTGCATCTCAAGAAGACGGTTATCGTGGTTTACAGCCGGCCCTCAGTCGATGAGTTTAAGAATAAGCTCCGCGAGATTGGCATCCGCAGGGGTAACTTCGCTCTCGCTACTGCCGCCCGAAATCTTGGGGTGGTTCTTGGGTGGGAAGCTAAGTCGTTGAGCTGGGAAGGGCCGGTGCGGAAGATGGGGGGGAGGGCCAGAGGTATCAAGAGCTTGTATCTGGGACTCATCAAGAGCATAGCCTGGTTTAATGTGTATGGATTCTCCTGCCTTGCGTTCATCGGGCAATTTTTCCTGCCTGCCAAATTCGCCCCGGACCGTCTACGGGAGGCTGGACAGGCCCGCGCAAACGCACCGAGGAATGCCATCCCGACGGCGTTGTTGCAAGACTTCACCTCCGTGGGGGCCAGAGTTCATATGCGTGATCTTGAATGTATGTGCCGTGCTGCGATGTTTCGTCTCGCTCATTATTCGTCCTCGTTCTTCGCCGTCCGACGTGAGCTCGAAGAATTCGCCAAATCCGATGAACATGTTATCCTTTGGAAAAGGCCCCCCCCTCATCCAGACATGCTCCATCATGGCCCTGATCGAAAACTACGACGCGGTCACTGCTCTCCCTCGGCTGCCACCTCTGACGCCCCCGCTGCAAAGAAACATTGGTCGCCTACTGAGCTCTGGCCGCCCCCTCGCCGCACGGTGTGCGACTAGCAAGCGTATCCAATATTTCACCCGTCTCCCCCCCACGGCCCCAGAAGTTGATGCGTGCATGATGTATCTAGGGCGGCTTGGTCAGATCGCTCCAAAGCAGGCGGTTATTGCATCGGTCCGTGCCCTGTGTAATAGTTGGTGCACGTCGCGCAGGCTTCGAGAGGCCACTTTATGTTGCAGGTGGTGTAAATATGCCGTGGGGGGAGACGACATTCAGCACTATTACAGCTGCCCCGTCCTGGAGGACATTTTCCGAATGTCCCCGTCGCTCCCCGAGGGTTTTCAGGATGCCTCGGCGGTGCATCGGATCCTCGTTTTCCCTCTTGGTCCCCTCCCTGCCCCTGCCCTGCTGTCCGTCGGCCTCCTTCATGATCTTGCCTATACCCTGATTTGTGCATGTCGAGAGCGACGGAGAACCGTCGCCGAGCTCCACGCTGTCGCGCGGGCTCGCCTCCGCTGGGCTGCGCGGCGTGGAGGCCCGTCCGTGGCCTCTCTGCTGCGCCCCGCCGCCACCGCCGCCGCCGCCCCCCCCGACACCTTCCGAGGCCGTTCGCTCCTCCTCCCTACTCGCCTCGTCTCGCCTCCTCCTCCTCCTCCTCCTCCTCCTTCTCCTCCTCCTACTCCTCCTCCTCCCCCTCCTCCCCCTCCTCCTCCTCCGCCTCCTCCTCCTCCTCCTCCGGAGGAGGAGGAGGAGGGGGGCGCGTCGCGCCAGTATGTCCCTCTGCGCCCCGCGCTCTGCGCCGCCCGCTCCGCGGCGCCGTCTGCCGCTCTGCGGAGCCTGGCGCGGGGGGCATCCGCCGCTCCAGCGGTGAGCGCCGCAGGAGTTTCCCCTCTCGGGCGGAGCAGCCCTGTTCGAGGGCGGCCTCCGACGCGACGTACTCTCAGATATTACCAGCCTCGAACGTATCCCTACCCCCAAGATTGACACGCCACAAGGCGATGACAATCTTAGGGGTTCGTCCCCCCCAAAAGGGAATCCCTAACATTGGCATCGTGATGAGGATATGCACAGCATAGGGACAGGGATATGTTCCAGGCTGGTAAAGATGCTCGGGGGGGAAGAACACACAGACACAATTCATCGTTGATTCTCCAAGAACAGATGGGAAAACATGGGAAGTGGGAGGGAAGAGGAACACCCAACAAACATGGGAGAATACGGGGAATCCTGTTATTCGTGTGAATTATTTTGTGTGTCCCAGGGCCCCTTTCAGTGGTCGGGTAGGCCTGTGAACGTCCGAGCGAAGCTGCTCTTTCTCAGCTCAGACTGCCTCCAAACCCCTTTTTTTTCGCATCTCTTACAGTGCCGTTTTTTATTGCATGCTCCGCGTGCGCATCATTTATTAAACATGCAGGGCTTTCGTATTAAAAACAAGGATGAGCTCATGCATGCGTTTATTCATACATTAATCATATATTAGCATCCAATATTTTCAAACATCCTTTGTATGAAAAGCTGCCCTGTAGACGATAGCCAAGGAAAGGCCGACCTGGAAACAACCTGGACGGCCACCGTTGCAGTGCAAGATTCTGCTCCCTCGTGGACATCATGTCCTCCGACGAGCGTTCGATTGAGGCACCGCACTTGTACCATCAAACCGCACAGCCGCCCCATCAAACAAGTCGGCCCTCGTATCTTCGAAGTCCTGCTCCATGCCACCTGGCCTTTGCCACTCTCGCTCTCGTGCTCTACCTCGCCGTCTTCAGGTCTTTCCAGGCCCCGCGAAAAAATCTCGGGGTCCTCCGCCGACTTTGTGATCAGCGGGATGGCCTGGATCAGCGTGGCGAGCTCGAAGCAGTTTTAGCGCGCGTCTCCCAGCCCCCGATCACGAGCAGCTTGCCAAAACTTTCGACGCTGAAGTTGAGCTTTTTCAATCAAACCCACCTCCCCGTCCTCGGCCAGCTTCTGGCACTCGTACCACGTATGGCCATCTGGCGCATCTTACGCTTGGCACCATGGGCACTCGGCGTTCTCATGGTGCCCACGTTGGAACCTCATCAGAGGGTGGCACCAGAGCTCCTGACCATATACTCGCACGAACTGCACCCAGTTGCTTTGCTTCTACCTCTAGAATGCTTTTACGCATCGCCCTGTGCCACATATTCTCCGAGCCCGTTGCCTCAGGAACATGATCGATCATGCGGCTGTGCTGCCACCGCCATATGCTTTCGATCACCAACTCTAGAACCTCCGTCGGTGGTGTCGTTCGCAGCGGTATCACTTCACCATCTCTAGCGTCGAACTGCGTGGGGTCCAGCAGCTCGAACGCGATCTCTCCCAACGGAAGCATGAGCGCTGCGATAGGCCCAGAACAACGCGCACAACTCAGGTTCTCGCTTAACCTCCCCCCATCGCAGGCCATGCATGCCACAACTATGCACCAGGTAGCCTACCATCCCACTGTCACGCCGCGTATCTCTTCGTCAGGTCAGCTGGCGCGTCGTAAATGAGGTCCATGAATTTCTGCTTCTGTGCGGCCAGGTAGCAAGTGACCGATCTGCCTGTCTGCGGGCAGCCCGCCACATTACCTGCCAACCTCCTCATCCATGTCCAAGTCGAGTCGCAGATCCAAACTACGCTGCCGCCGTGCCCAGCTGATGCATACATCCCTGCATGCCTCAAGAGTGTTGCCTTGTCACCGATACCCTGCCACAGCCTCTTCAGCTTAGGCTTCTGATCTGCCGCTCTACCTATGCGGCTCTTCCCGATGGTTCGCTTCACCCTGCTATCGAGCAACTCGCGGCCCAACTCGCTTGAAGATCTTCTCCAGCGCTTTATGTGCCTCCACCGACGTAGCCCCGAAGTGAGATTTCTTGGCTTGAACGAACATGCCCAACTTCTTTGTCCTTTTGCACAGGTAATCGGTCGCGATCCACGATTTCCCAGCTTTATTGAGATTGTTGCCAACCCATCGCGTCGACGTGTCGTCCATCAATCCTCTCGGCGTGATCGATCGGGAAATTCTTCGCGTGCCCCTCGGGCTTCGAAAAAGCAGCACGCTCGACAACGTCGTAGCATGGCTGCAGCCCGCCTGAATGGCTTGAAACACCGTTGCGATCTCCGAATGGCGTCCGCATGCCGTTATGTAGCGTGGTTGAGAATACTGCGTCATCAGACACCACACGAGCCAAAGCGGGTATCCTACTTTACGTGCTTCGGGAAGTAATGCCTCATGCCTTATCGTCTCCTAGTACTTGGCCATGCACATCGGCACCGTGATATAGAGTGCTGACCCGTCATCCTCGCCACCTCCGACGTACTATTCAGCTCGAGAGTGCTGTCGGACGACGTTCGGCCGCCTCCGCTCCCCCAGAAAATGCTGTCCTGGTTCATCTTCTCCCACTTGGCTGAGACATCTCTGCGCGCTCGGCCCCACTACCTGGACATCGTTTGGAGCAAAGCTATCAGCCCATGCCCCCCATCAGGTTTGTCAAGACGCACCATCTCCGAGACCGGGCGGTTCGTTGGCCACGCTCTCAAATCTTCGCACTTGCTGGAGGCTACCGCTTACCTCTGAATTTCTCTGGGGTGCACACGGAAAGGCCCTAACCCGGTCTTCTCAGAAAATTTGCCAGCTACTCTCCACACATCGGCCGCCGTCAGCTTTAGGAGGGCTGCCCAATTCTCGATGCCAGGCGGCCTGTCCAGAGGGTTGTCACCAGGTTCTCTCCAGATCTCCAGCTGCCCTGGTAGACAAGAGCCCGCCCCCCATGTGTGAACCTGTTGTCAGTTTCTGAGCTTGGGGCTCATAAATGGTAAGAAGTCTCAGGCGCAACGCCCTGCCCGCCCTTCCGACTGGCCTCGGGGTGCGACAGCGAGGAATTATTCATAAGGAATAGGAGTGGAGGGGGATGATGATGAGGATGCTGCTGTTTCTGATGATGATGCTGATGATG